TATCAAACTTTCCTTCAGAAAACGGACTTTTCGTCCTTATTTCAACCAAATAAACACAAATAACGACACCAAAAATACACTACATTGTCCACTATAATTTTGACCTCGGCATTTCATGAGTTAGCACAGGTACTGTATATATCGGCTTAATGAGCGCGCTGCCGTGTACACAGCACAAACAGGGTTGCCGTCGTCGAAAAAGCGAGAAGGATTTTGTTTGGCACGACACTGTTATATATATGGCACGTTTGCGCGCACACTTACTGAGGAATATTTTCTCACATAATTTCTAACATCTAAAGTTGCTGAAAAATGTATACAAGCGTCCAACGTCCTGAAGGTTTGAGACTTCAGATACGCGGACTCCTGAGGCCGTGCGTACTGTTTTTTGTGGTTGCTGGACAAGCATGCAAACGACAAAACTTCAAGGCAACTGGTAATATGGCATTTTTGCTTTGACAATTCGTTTCATATGAAACATAATCTGGGTATCTTTGGACTTCCAAACACGAGTGAACATATTTTGAATTTAATCGTTTGCCCTTTCTAAAGACTGTAAAATTATTCATTTAAAACGAATCAGATTTAAAACAGCCGCCTAGTTGAAATATATTTTATTCATAATTACTATTCTCTCTATGCTTTTTTTATACTGGCAATAAAGCTGACGGGCCCAGTGCATTGATTTTCTAGCCCAGGTGAGCGAACGTTGTCCACACTCTGAAAGAATACTTGATCGTTTGGTTGAAAGCCTTCTCGATTCCGTGCGTTCAATGCATTACGAAGCATCGTTTGAAAGGACGATTCCTACGTTTTTTACAATAAAATTCCCGACGACAGCAAGTATTCAAACCTGTGCGATTTACACTAAACCAAGTACAGGCGGTTTTATTATATTCAACTGCTCTCTTATATTTCCGTCGGCAACTGTTACTTTCTCTATAGATGTAAGCAATTTATAATTTTTCTACACGATTAATTTAATTTATTCCAATTAATGTCAGGTAACATTTCTTTCAGCCTTTGGTACCAAAACCAAGTCCCAGCGTGTTGCATTACGCTA